CGGCATCGATGGCCGCCCCCATGGCCTCCCTGGTGGCCGCTGAGAGGGGCACCGACTGCACTGGGGTGCCAGGCAGGACCACCTCGACGGCCAGCTGTGGCAGGGCAGACCCACTCCTGAAGCGCAGACAAAGGGGGGCGTGTCGGGATGGGCTCGGCCGAGTGCCTCCAGCTGCTGGTAGAAGTGGCGAATCAGATGCCCCTGCTGCACCGGCGTCACACGAGGGCCGCGACTGGCCGTGCGATTCGTCGGCGGCTCAGGCAGAGCGTCTTGCTGCAGCCGACTGAGGGTGTCGCTCTTGAGCATAGGATTGCGGTCGAGTCGGTCGTCTCTGCGGCGCCGTGGCTTGGTGTCACGGCGAGCCGTAGGGTGCAGAGGCACACCGCCCCCTACACCACCTTGACGCAGCTGAGGCGCCTGTCGCTGTTTGCCGGGCAGAGGATCGTCGCCATCGTCGGCACTTCTCGAGTCTGCCGGGTCGCCATCCAGCATCGCCGCTCGCTCGGACGTGTGGGACTGCCTCTTCAAGATGGCCCGTAGGTGGCTGATGGCGGCCTCCTTAGCACCCCGTAGCCCAGCTGCTTGACGGAGAAGGACTTGCTCTTCCTCCTGCCGCCCACCTGCCAGCGGGCTTCCCATGCGTTTTTCGTCTTGTCGAACCTCACGCCCCTGACGCCGCTCTGGTGCTTAGATCTCTGCTTTATTGCCGCTTGGCCAGTGCGGTCCATCTCGAGACGGTGCTGCTCGGCCAACGCCTGACGCACATTTGAGAAAAAATAGAGGATAAGATGGAGGCAGGGTGCTGGAATGCGATGTCGGTACCTTTGCTTTGTCGAAGCCATGGTCCTTGACATAGAAGGTCTTGAGCTCCTCGTTGCCGCTGCTCTTCTCGTACCACTTCGCTTTCCACGACTGCTCCCTTGCATACCACGAGACGCCCGACACGTGCGACTGGTGTTCGGCAGCCTTTCGTGTGACGGCCTCGCCCTCATCCCTGGCTGTCTTGTTGGCCTGTGGCCTCGGCTTCCCCTCGATGGATGGTTTGCTGCTGCTGGACAGAGCCGTATCTCTGCGGCGGTGCTTTCGAGAGGGGCTGTGGTCGGCCGACTCGTCACGCAGCGAACCCTCTGGCCGCACCGAACCACTCCCCTCCTGCTGCCGGTCGAGCCATGAGAGGTCGATGACGCTCGCATGGTCGCCGAGTTTGTCACGGTGGATGGTGTTGCGGTACGCCACACATTGGCGGAGAGCCTCGATGATGCTGTCACGGGAGTCAGGGGCGTCGATGACGAACTTGCGGAAGCCCAGGTGCTTGCCCTGGCTGTCAAAGTACGCGGCGAAACGTCTCGGTGAAGTCATACAGACGCCGAATCTGACGAGACGCCAAAGATAGGATGCAAAAATATGTCGCTCCCCCTTGTCGTGTGTGTTGCTCACCCTCCATTGGCGGGCGGACAGGCGTCGTTGAACCGTCGTACCAGTCGGTTCACCAGGGCCGTGGCGAGAACAGGTCCAGTCAGCCCATCCACGTCGGCCTCATCGTGCGCCCCCTTGCGGTCGACAGTCTGGCGCTTGGGGGCGGGGCGACGCGGCGGGTCCCCTTGGCCTGGACGATGGGGCGATGATGATGAGATTTGCGACTCCGTCTCAGACGATAAAGACATGGCGGCCTGCCGGCTTGACTGACTCGCTTGTTGTTTGCGGCTGCGACGGCCAGGAGGAGGGCGGTCGACCTCGATGTCTCCACGGGGCTCCACCTCCTCTGACACCGCCCCTCCCTTAGGTGTGTGGCGCCCCTCCCGTCTATGTCGGGGCGGTGTCTGATGGCGGGAAGCCTCCGCTCGATCGCAACGAGCGGCAGAGTTGGGAGAGGGAGCTGGATCGTGGACGGGCTGGCCGTCGCTGCCCAAGAAGGTGTAGTGCTGCTCTTGCATGGCCTGTCTGTGTGCTATCGCGGCGTTCTTGGCGACTTCATGGCCGAGCTCTTTGACGGAGAAGGACTTGGTCCTTGTTTGGCCGCCCTCCTTCCAGGTGGCAACCCACGCGTTGTTCTTGTAGTGGACGCCCCTGACGCCGCTCTGGTGCTCCGCTCGCTTCTTGATGGCCGCCCGGCCAGTGCGCTCCATCTCGCGACGATGCTGCTCGGCCAACGCCTGCTAAAAAAAGGATCACGGACATGAGAGAGTGCGTGTGTCATGCGTTGTTCTTTCTTGCCTTCTGCACCTTTGCTTTGTCGAAACCGTGCTCGCTGACGTAGAAGTACTTGCGTTCCTCCTTGCCGCCCTCGTACCACGACGACACCCAGGCCTGTTGCTGCTCGAGCCAGCGGACGCCCGAGACGTCTGACTGATGCTGGGCGGGCTTGGGGATGACGGTCTTGCCGCCTTGGGTGGCCTTGCGCCTCGGCTGTCCGTCGGACAAGGACATGTCACCATGCCGATCCATGTCATCACGACCACCGGCACCGCCCCCATCCTACACCCTGCCGTGGTGCTTCGGACGCTTGGACGCCGTACCATCACTCGTGCCCTTGCCGGTTTCACGATTCTGCAGCTGTTGCTGTGGGTGCAGGTTGATCCTCTGCACGTCGATCATGATAGCACCACCACCAGGGCAGCTGTCCTGCTGATCCAAGTGCCGAGATGACGCCATGCTGCCGCCCCGCATATCGATATCATTCTCCTGTGCAGCGGGGGGCGACGGCTGAGGGCGGGAAGCTTCGGGTCGACCGTGGCCGGCGGCAGAGTGGTGAAGAGAAGGCGGCTGATGGACGGGCTGGCTGTCGCTGCCCAAGGGGGTGGAGCGCCTTTCCTCCATAGCACGGCGGTGCGCGATCGCTGCCTGCTTGGCAGGCTCGTAGCCGAGCTCAGCGACGGAGAAGTACTTGGTCTTCGTTTTGCCCCCCACCTGCCATTTGGCCACCCAGCGCTTCTGTGTCTTCTCGAAGTTGACGCCCCTCACGCCGCTCTGATGCTTGGATCTCTTCTTGGTTGCCGCCTGGCCAGTGCGCTGCATCTCACGACGATGCTGCTCGGCCAACGCCTGACAGACACATGACAGGCACAACATGGTCTTGTGGTGTTGCCCTTAGCTGCACCTTTGCTGTGTCGAAGCCGTGCTCCCTGACGTAGAAGGGCTTGTACTTCCTCTTGCCGCCTTCCAACCAGTCGGCCCTCCATGTTTTTTTCGTCTCTTCGTAGGAGACGCCCGTGACGTCCGACTGATGCTCGGCAGGTTTGCGAATGACGGTGTTGCCCTTGCCGGCCTTGTGCCTGGGCTGTCCGTCACGCGAAGACACGTCATCAGCCCAATCCATGTCGTCACCGCCACCAACACCACCCACATCCGCCCCGCCACCGTCATGATGCGTCGGACCCTTGGAGGCTGCACCAGCACTCGTGCCTTTGTCGGCGTCGTGCTTGTCCGTTGGCTGTGGGTGCAGATTGATGCGCCGCACGTCGACCATGGTTGCACCGTCGCCAGCCGTGGCGTTGCGGTGGTGGGCCGCTTGGGCGGAGGCACGCAGGATGAGACGGGATGAAGTCACGTCAGGCACACTGAAGACACGCTCGTCGTGCTTGGCCTCCCCGTCCCGTCGACAAGCCACGAAGCTGGCCTCCTCGGCGTCCCACTCGAGACCAAAGCTGCATGGCACACATATCAAGGAAAACGATAATGAGTGGCCTATTCCTGTCTGCGGTCTGCATTCCTGCTATCCACCTGTCGGCATCGCCTCGGTTTACGTCCGTCAGCTGTCGCCTTGCCTGCTCCACCAGGCTGGCTGCCAGAGCGTGGCCGCTCCCCTCACTCAGCTTCGCCGACACATGTCTTTCCTTCCCGCCTCCCGACCGGTCGCGACGGCGCTTGGCCCCCGGTCGATGTGGCAGCTCCTCGCCCTCACGACGGCGATGTGCCTCCGATGTGGGTCGAATGGGAGGCGGCAGGAGTTCATCCTGACTGTCCCTCCTGCTGCCCGGGCGATGGCTGGGCTCCCCACTCTCCGGACCAAACGGGTCGGCCATCAGCCTCTCACTGACACGATGTGCGGACCGGCCTCTGTGGCGGCGCCCAGGCTGAATATGGGGCGCCATGGGGTCATTGCTGTCAGGTGTGTGGTCACTGGGGCCCTCAGATAGAGACGGGGCCGGCATGGGCTTGCGCCTCGCTCCGCTGCGGCGGCGCGTCCGAGGTCGATTGCAGCCGTCGGGGCTGATGTCATCGAGCCAGCTGATGTCCAGGGGGACGGCGGCCTCTCCCGTACTGACAGTGCTCAGACGGCTGAGCTCCTCGACAGCGCGGCGAAAAGCGGCGACAACGGCCGAACGGGAGCTGAGGTCGACCACCGGGACATCGACAATGCGCTCAGTCGCACCCTCCCCGACAGAGGACGGCACACGGACACGGAAGCTGCCGTCCTGCCAACACAGCCCGCATGACCTGCCCGAAAGAGCCAAACCCACACACACATGCACACACGCGACAAATCTGGCCCTTCCTTGTCTTCCCTTGTCTTTCCTTACCCGTCGCTGCTTAGGACATCAACCAGCGCAGCAGCCAGGTCGCCGCCCTTCATCCCACCCATGTGTGGCCCGCAGCTGGGGGGGCCGTGGCGGCGCGCCGAGTGAATCGCACCATCATCATTGGGGGGGCTGCAAGGACGGCCTTTATCGCTCTTCGCCCCGCCCTCTGACGTGCGGCGCTGCGACTCCAGGGCACGTCTTTCGGCGATCGCGGCACCCAGAGCACCATCATAGCCGAGCTTGTCGATGGAGAAAGACCTCCACTTCTCCTTGCCTCCCTCACGCCAGGTGGCCACCCATGAGTTGCTGCTCTCGTTGTACCTCACGCCCTTGACGTCGCTCTGGTGCTCAGATCGCTTCTTGACTGCTGCCCTCCCCGTACGCTCCATCTTGAGACGATGCTGCTCGGCCAACGCCTGATACACACAACACACATGAGAGAGATTGACGATCGCCGTTGGCGTCGCTGTTGTCAGTACCTTTGCTTTGTCGAAGCCGTGCTCCCCGACAAAGAAGTCCTTGTACTTCCTGTCCCCCTTCTCATACCACGACACTCTCCACGCCTTGTCCCTTTCCGCCCATCTGACGCCACGGACGTCTGACTGGTACCTGCCCTCCCTGGCGTTGGGCGTCGGTGCTCCGTCGTGGGCTGGGGGGCAGCTGCCGAGCGGATGTGTGTGGCGAGGCTTCGGCGATGGGCTGCGATCGACGGCTGACTCCTCATCGGCGGGCCCTGCCGACTCGGTGACTCTCTCCCCGCTCACAGTGGACTGAGGCCGATGACCATGGCGACGTTTGGCCGACAGACCTGGAGAAAACAACACAGACAGTCACAACTGCTGGGTGAGTATCACACACAGGGTGGGTACCTTTGTGACGGCGTGGCTCGTTGTGAGGTGGCTCAGCCACCCAACCACCAGCAGCAGCAGGGGGCATACACGAGGGACCGGGTGCACCGATGGGTAGCGCGTCGGCGGCGCGGCCAGGAGCGCTGCTCGACTCTGCACACAAGAAAAAACAGCAGCACGCACACAATGATATGCATCAGAGTCCCCCAGCCTCCTGTCATCCCGACCATCTAATGGCCTGCCTCTTCGGCCCTTGGGCTCAATGCGGGGCGGCATGGGGTCACGCTTGTCGAGTGGCGGCGGAATGGACCCGTGTCCCGCGAGAGGTGAGTTGCCATCCCCTGCTGCCCCTCGCTGCGCCTCCTCGAGCCACGAGAGGTCGATGAGCACCCCCTGGTCGCCCAGACGCGAGCTGTGCAGGGCGTTGCGATACTCGACGGCTTGGCGGAAGGCCGTCAAGATGGCCTCACGGGAGGTGACGTCCTCGCCGACACTGAACTGGCAAAGATCGACAGTGGCCGCAGCCTGGCTGTCCCAGAAGTAGCCCTCGAACACATAGGTTGCCCGCCATGAGACGCCGACACTGACACACACACATATCCAGAGACGAGTCCCTCATGACATCCGTCCGTCCGTTCTTGCTGCGAGTCGTCCTCCCTCGCGTACCCTCCGTTGTTGAGGCAGAGGGAGTGGACATTTGGCTGCTCCTGACGCAGCCGCCGCATCAGTCCACGACCCAACGCGTCGCCCGTCAGCCCGCCCAGATCGCAGCGGTCAGACGCAGGCGAGAGGCCGCCATCCTCCTCGTCCATCCGCCGCTGCTTGTTTCGCTGGCTGCCATTGCGGCCCTCGTGTGAGCCACTGCTATCGCTGCCGCTCCATGGAGGCGCCCCTCTCTCGAATGGGGAGTGCCGCTGCTCCATCAAGGCCCGTTTGTGCCGGGTGGCGGCATCCATAGCAGCCTCGTAGCCCAGCCTGGTATGCTGCCGATTGGTCTTCAGAAGCTGTTTGATGAATCGACTGGCGGCCTCCTTGATGTCCTCGCCGTCACACTGCCCCACCATGGCCGGCAGCTCGTGACGCACAACGACTCGATGGACGCAAAACTCAGAGAGGGGACGGCAGCCAGCATCGCCCCAATGTTGTGACCCACTTGACCATACACACGACAGAGGACCATCCGCTGGGCGTGTGTCACGGGCTGCTGGTCCTCGGTGCCGTCAATGTCCATCTCCTGCTGGCGGCATGCCCATGCCGCATCGATGGCTGCCCCCATGGCCTCCCTGGTGGCCGCTGAGAGGGGCACCGACTGCACTGGGGTACCAGGCAGGACCACCTCGACGGCCAGCTGGGTCAGGGCAGACCCACTCCTGAACCGCAGACAAAGGGGGGTATCGGGATGGGCTCGGCCGAGTGCCTCCAACTGCTGGTAGAAGTGGCGAATCAGATGCCCCCTCTGCACCGGCGTCACACGAGGGCCGCGACTGGCCGTGTGATTCGTCGGCGGCGTAGCCGGTGGGCCCTCCCGCAGCCAACTGGGGGCCGGCGAGGGATTGCGGTAAAATCGGTCGTCTCTGCGGGGCCTCGGTCGGTCGGTGTCACGGCGAGCAGTAGGGTGCAGTGGCACACCGTCCCCCACACCACCGTCACGCAGTTGAGGCGCCCGTCGGTGTCTGACGGGTGGAGGATCGTCGCCATCATCGGCACTTCTTGCATCAGCCTGGTCGCCATGCCTCTCCGCCCCTCCCTCTGACGTGTCCAATCGCCCCATCTTCTGTCCGTGTCTGATGGCGGCCTCCTTGGCACCCTCGAAGCCAAGCTGGTCGACGGAGAAGGGCTTGGTCTTCTGCTTGCCGGCCTCCTGCCAGCTGGCCACCCATGAGTTGCAGCTCTTGTGGTAGTGGACACCCCGCACGCCGCTCTGGTGTGTCCTCCTGACTGATGCCCTCCCCGTACGCTCCATCTTGAGACGATGCTGCTCGGCCAACGCCTGAAGCCAAGACGGAATAAAAATAAGGTGTGTGGCGCCTCTCGGGTTTCTTCCCACCTTTGCTTGATCGAATCCATGATGTTTCATGTAGAAGTACTTGTGCTTCTGCTTGCCGTCACCCTTGTCGTACCAAGTCGCCACCCAGGCCTGGTCCTTCTCAGCCCAGTGGACCCCCTGCATGGCAGACTGATGCCCCGCACGCTTGCCGATGACGGCCTTGCCCGTGCCGGCCTCGGCTGTCTTGCCGCCCTTGCGCGTTCGCGGCTCCTTCTTGGCCCACAGACCTAAGAGAAAACACCACAGGCACCCAAAATGGATGGGTGGTCGACGATAGGAATGGTGTGGCTGTCTACCTTTGTCACCGGGAGGCTCATTGTGAGGTGGGTCAGCTGAGCCACCACCACCACCACCAGCAGCAGCGAGGGTCATGGACGAGGGACCGGGGGCACCGGCGGGCGGTGAGCCATTGACGGGGGAAGGGACGCCAATCAACTCTGCACACATGGAAAGACGAACACACACACAATGATATACGTTAAAGTCCCCAAGTCTCTCTCGTTTCTGCTCTAGCCTTACCTGCAGCAGGTTTCCACTGAGTGACGGTCCGCTCGACGCCATCGATGACATCCGACACACTCTCGAACCGATCGTCAGTGTCTGCCGTGCCGTTGCGGACGGCCACCAGCAGGTCGCTCAGCATGCTCGTGTCCCAGCCCCTCACCACATCGTCGCGAGTGAGAAGCGCCCGCACCCACAGCGGCGGCCGGTCGGTCCCTCCCCCCTCCCCCCGCCATGCCGTCACCGCATACCGCTGGCCGTCGCCCTCGTCGGCCACACTGAACTCCAAACCCTCGTACTCGGCGGAGTAGTTGCGGTGGCCGGGGGTGCCCTTGTTGTGCAACACATCCGACAAGGGGATCGGCCGGCGGCTTGACGTCCTCTCCCGGTTGGAAGTGGCTGCAGGTCCCTCACTTGAGTGCGGCCCGCCGCCTTGCTGCTTCTTCGGGTCGCGTGGTGCGTGATGCTGGTGGGTGGGCGACGGGTGCCGTTCTGCTGTGCTGGTGTTGTCGTGTGGTGCTGGTGTGTGTCGGTCTGCGGGGGCTGGTGGCAGTGGGTAGGGGTAGGGGGATGGGTGGGGTTGGGCGTCGGTCGTCTGCAAGGGTCCTCTGTCGTCTTGGACATTCGCTGCTACACCACCCTGACGCGGCGGATTTGCTGATACACCAACACGCGGTTGGCAGCCGGCGCCAGTCGGCTGTTCAAGGCCCTCCGGGGCGGCCGAGTGGCGCCGCTGATGAGATACAGACGAGCGGTTGTCCTGACGCATCTCCCTCTCTGGTACGGCCGCGCCGGCAGCATGTGACGACGACCCATGAGTCGCCGAGGCCGCCTGCAAGATGTCTGCCAGAGCCCGAGAGCCGTCCTCTGCTGCTGGTGAGAAGCCGGCGGGATGAGTATGTCGACTCGCCATCGTCACTTTTGTTGCTGCCGTCCGTCCGACTCGCTCACGGGCTCCCCGTTGGCGCCATCAGAAGCAGAGATCACCAAGGTGCGGCATCACCGCTCCCGACACCCACCAAGATCGCCAAAAGCGACAAGGGGAGGCGAGTGCACCATCAGATCTCCGTCTGCAGGCCATTCATGATGGGGTCAGCGGCGTTCTTCGCAAACCTGCGCGGAATCTGAAGCGTGACGCGAGCTACGAAGTGAAGCTCGCGCACTTTCGGCCTTTTCCCCCGAGAACGGCGCCTTCTGACCATGACGAGCCAGCAGCAGGGAGTTGATCTGTCGCGAGATCCCAAGTACAATGTCAACTACACAGGCGCCGCCACCGATGCCAGAACAAGTGAGCACACCACACCACACCGCAGCACACTCAGCCCAGCCCGGCACGCCACAGCCCAGACAAGGAAGCCACAGAAAGGAAGAAGAACCAGCAAGAAAGAGACGGCGCAGAGCAGATGAGATGGCACTCCTCCCAAGACGCCATCGGCAAGGAGGGCGTGTATGCATTTGGCGAGCAATGCTGTCCCTCTCTCTGGGTGTGTTGTGCATTTAGATGCCGAGCAGGCGCCGTTGATGGAGGACATCGGTCGGCGTGTGGGTCAGGAGGTGATGGATCAGACCAAACAGGGGCTGCAGGACTTGGGCACCAGGATGCTCACCGAGGGCAGCAAGTGGTGGGAGGCCAACAGGAAGGAGTTGGAGGGTAAGCAAGTAAGGGAGCCGGTCTGGCCTCGGCACCCAGTGAGGACACAGGCAGGCAGGCAGGCAGGCAGGCCGCCCAGCCAGCCAGCCAGCCAGCCAGGGTCAGACAGGGGAGGGAGGGAGGGTAGATATCCGCTGTGTGGGTGAGTGAGTCAGCGGAGTGGGTCGGTGTGTCTGTCTGTGATGATAGTACTGGGCACTGATCGCCTGCCTGCCTGATACAGACAGAGCGGGAACGACATGCTGCACACAATACCATATACGCTGAGACATCCACACACACAGATGCGTTTCTTTGCATCCTTCTGTATATACTGGGGTGGGCTCTTTCTCTTGCTTTGCCCGCCATGCCATTGGTGGTGAATTGATTGTGGTTGTCTCCCTCCCTGTGTGCGTCTGTCTGTGGCTCATTCATTCCTTCAGGTCCGAAACCCCTGCGCATCTTCTGCTTCATCGGTCAGTGCAGTGAGTGGTTCAGTGCAGTGAGTCCGTCCGTCCATGGCCTTTCCCACGTGTGCGTGTGTGTGTGTGGTGTGTGTGTGGTGTGTGTGCGTGTGTGGCCAAACACAGGCGGTTTGCTGATGTTCATAACGTCGCTGCTGGGCATGATCAACCCCTTCGCTGCCGTATTCAACGCCCCCAACTACATACTCCAGACCTTCTTGGGGTACGCACGCACGCACGCCACAGGCCCACAGTCGAGCACCCACCCATCTCACATAGATGGGGCGTGTCGTCACTCACCTTCTCTCTATGTATGTATGTTGTGCGGTCAGTCTGTTTGGGTTCGTGACGATGATCCTGGAGGCGTCCAACATCCCGTTCCTCGAGCGGCTGCGGCCCCACGTAGAGGAGTGGGCCAAATTCCTCACAGTCATCGGCGGAAAGGGACTCTTCTACATGTTCCAGGGTCAGCTACACTGTGTCACACGCGCGGGCTGCCCACACACACGCACACACACCGCCGATCTGTCTGTCTGTGTGTCAGGGTTCCTCGCGATCTCTCTGTGGGGGCTTCTGGACGTCATAGTGGGGGCATACATGGCCGGCCTGGGCCTTCTCTGCGTCGCATGGCACTTCGGACTCGTCAAGAAAATATCCAGGGTGGGCTAGGCGACAAAACAACACACGCCACACAGCGCATTCTGGCTGTGCAATCTCTCCTCTGTGTGTGTGTGTGTGTGTGTGTGTGTGTGACGGATGGTTTGTGTCGATGTGGCCAGCGCCAACGGCAGCAGGCGGCCAACGACCCGTCGGCCTCTGGCCCCGGGATGGCCACACAGCAGGGGACCGGCCCGGGGGGATACGCCCCCATGCCACAGGGCGGCGTGTGATGTGATCCACCCATACACTACACGGGCGTATTAGCCTCCCCGTCCTCTCTGTCCACCACTCACACACGGACAGACAGTCGGCGTACCTAATTAGTTACCAAGACGGTTTCTTAGACACTTTTGGGGGATGGATGCTCTAGACTCTCTCTGATTATTTTTGCGCCGAGCCAGCGTGCTTTACTGCTGCGTGCGGCCGGAGGTCTGCCTTGTCCGCCTGCCTGCGTTTGTGATTGTAAGTAAAGGGGTGGAGGGGGGAGGGCGACGGCAGACGTTCACTCACTGCACGGGCGGCGCGGGGCGGGGCGCTGCTGGGTGGCCGCGATGTCGTCGCGATAATTGATAGAAGACAGGGGGGAATGTGTGGATGCGATGCGTGTGTGTGGCGGGTGGGGTGCGACAGTCCAAAGCCGTCGCATCCGATCAGCCGATCCACTCACCCACCCACTTTTGCGTGACGATGATGGCCTGCCTGGGTGGGTGAGGGGGGATGCATGGCGTGGGTAGGTAGACTCATTCGGTGGACACGTATGTATTGCCAAGTGCCGCTTTCTTTTATCATTCGTGCGTGCGTGCGTGCACGTGTGTGTGGACCGACCGGTGTGCAGCAATGTGGTGCCTTATGCTCGCTCCCTCTCTCGACGTACGTGTGTGTGGATGTGTGTGAGAAGCGTGTACGGTTTTGCACTTGGCTGGCCGTTCGCATGGCTGGCTCCATCACGCAGGTTTAATAAGCTCATTCCTTCCTTGATCGACCCACTGCATGCCGTCACAGGTACATGTATGTGTGTGTGTGTGTGTGTCTGTGTGTCCCCTCCACACATGTAGTCATCGATACATAGATACATACATGTATGTGAGTGACCCATACATCCAATCGACTCGTTCGTTGCGTGGCCGGCCGGAATGCATGGACGAACGGACAGATATGCATGCATGTCTCTCTCTCCCTGCGTGACATGACTGACTGAATACTCTCTTTCTTGCCGATACAAACACCTCTCACACACATCGATGTGATGGACGGTCACGGACCATTCAGCACCTCCACTCTCTTCCGCAAATTTGCTCGCAGACTCTCAAGGTCCTCGTGGGACCGGTCAAAAAGCCGATTAATCGCCGCCCCATGCTTATCAATGTGCTCAGCCGCCCTCGCCTGCCAATCGTCCAGATCCCTCTCCGTCATGGTTTTCTTCATCCGCAGCCGACTCAGCGCCGCCCTCTCCGTCGCCACATCCACCTCCATGGTGCTGCTGTCTCTGTCTCCTTCTCTACACATTGACGTGATGTGATGCATCTCGGCCCGGCTGGCCAACGGGGGCAGACTGAGCCTCGATGGAGGCCCGCTGATTGGCAGAGGGAGGATGGACGGAGAGGAGTCGGGGGTCGAGACAGAGGGTGCGAGCCGTGCCAGGCTCATGTCGACTTCGCTGGCCACGCTGCGTTGTGCCGTCGCCACCAGGGCATCGTAAGTGTTGGCCTCCCCCGCTGTGAAAGGGCTGATAGCCAGCGACTCACCCCCATAGTCATCAGCCTCTCCTCCGTCTCTCAGCTGCAGGGTCGCTGACGAGGCCGGCCGGCGGCCGTCATCCAGCGGCTGCGACGGGCTCCGCATGGTGGTATGGAACGCTGAAAAAGCAGAAGAGGCCGCCTCGTCCAGTGGCTCATCGTCAAGGTATTCCAGGTGGGGGAGGCGGGCCAACACAGCCATGAGGCTCTCGGAATCTGCAGACGACACATGAGGATGGTCGCTGCTCGGTGGGGCCTCGATGGCAGGGTGAGGCGCGGCATTGGTAATGGGGAGGGCGTCCTTTGAGGGGGAAAGGGGGTTTCCCTCCAGCCGCAGCTCACATAACCTGGCAAGAGTCTTCAGGGTGTCCAACGACTCCACATCTCGCAACCTGAGGACAAGACACAACGAACGGCAAGGTGGATGTCTCCGACCGAGAGCAGCTGCCCTGACATGTTGTGTGAGAGGTCGAGTATCTCCACGTTTGGGGTTCTGTCTGCAAGGACCGTCAGCACGCCTCCATCCAGGCTGTTCCTGGCGAGTGACAGCTGCGTCAGCTCCGAGAGCAAGGGGAACGCGCGAAGGTCATGGTCCGATAGACAACACGACTCGAGGAACAAGGTCTGAAAGGGGCGGGCAGCACAAGGTACGTATGAATGCACCCGTATAATATGTGTGATGCTGTCAGTGTATTGCTCACCTGCAGCTTGCTCAAGTGATCCAGGAAGAGGATAGGAGGAGGCTTAACGCGCACTCGTGTCGCCTTGCCCGTCCATGTCAGCGCAGCCCCGCCTGCACTCACATTGGTTCTCTGCAACTGGCCGCTGAGAGTACTGACTGATCTGCTGGCTGCTTCATTGCCGCTCTTCTGTGCCCTAAGTGAGGACAGCAGGTCTCTTATCGAGCCACGAGCCACCATCCTGGTCCTGACAGATGGAGAGGTGGAAGTCTCGGTGGGCGGCTGCTCGACTGGGGGGCAAGGAATAGGCTGACCAAGGGGGTTGTGGCTGATGTCCAGCTCAGTCACATTTGCGAGGTTTGCAAAAGCGAAAGCGTCGACGGGTTTGTGCTCGCCGAGGCAGTTGGCGTCGAGATGAAGCGTCTCCAGCCGCCGCAGAGGCTGCAGCCCCTCCACCTGAGCTATCAGGTTGCCCGATATGAAGAGGTGTCTCAGCTTGAGGAGCTTCCCCAGGCCATCGATGTAGGTGAGGCGATTTCTGGAGAGGTTGAGAGACACGAGATTGATGAGTGTGTCGAGCCCGCTGATGGATTCGATGGCATTGTCGTCCATATCGAGGTGTGTGAGGCGTACGCACCCCTCCAGCCCCTGGATGCCACGAATCGAGTTCGCATAGAGCCGAAGCTCCGTCAGGGACGCCAGACGGCTGAGTGGCCGCATTATTGTCATGGGATCGGCTGGCTTTGCACCATCAGTCTCTGTCGTCGCAACATCAGATGGGGGCTCCGATGTCGATGTGTGGTCCTCAAAAGGGAGGTCATCAGCCAGAAGAGACGACAGATTGTTGCACGACAGGTTGAGCGAGCGCAGAGAGGGGCCGTATCGCGACGCCAGCAAGGAGAGGCCGTCAACCCTGTCGATGAAATGGAAGCTGAGGTCCATCTTCAACGCTCCATCACGATCTCTCTTGGCCTTGACGGCGCCATTCTTCGTATCCTCCTTCTTTGTGGCCTCCTTTTCACCCTTAGGCTCCTCTTGATCTGTTGAAAGGAAGGACTCGGATGGCTCGCCAACGTCATCCAGATCCATCTCCACCGTGCTGTCGTCCCTCTCATCGACGGAATCACCAGCCTTTGCAGGGATCTCATCAATTGCTCCATCGGTGCGGCGGAAAGAGGGTGACTCAGCTCGGTGGAGAAAAGATACGGACCGCTCCTGCAGACAATGATGGGCAAATGACTGCATGCAGCGTCTGTGTGAACGCATTATCTCACCAGCAGGGCCTCGTCAATCTCCGGCGGCTTCCCCTCCCATCTCTTGCTCTCCGAGAGATGTGCGGCCGTGCGGTCGGAGGAGGCCAGCGAAGTGGAATCGCCCCATCTCTCAAGCAGGCTCTTGCTTGGGCCTGCAGGAGGGCGCGTTTTCACCTCGGAAGTTGCCATTCTCTCGGTTGAGACGCCGAGGCCCCCAGTCCGTGGGGGCTCCTTTCCCTTCCCCCCCTCTCTCCCCTCCTCGGTCGGCCACAATCATGTCTGGAGGTGTGATCAGGCCGAATGACCCCACTGTGGAGGACAAGATTCTCGGTTAGCGGCGATTGTCACACATTACACGTCAAGGCGCCACAATGAATGTGTTCTTCGTCTGTTGGCAGGCCAGGGCGGGGAAGGAACGGTGTACAGGGGTGTGTGGCGAAGTCCAGATGGAAATATTTCTGTGGCTGTCAAGACATTCAAAGCCAACGAGGAGCTTGACGAGGGAGTACGGCTACAGAGCCCTATAGCTTTCCATCATGACGCCCGCGTGTGCGTGTGTGCGTCACGGTGTGCAGTCACAGTTCATGGAGGTGCTGGAGGAGTTCCTTCCGATGCTCCCCCTTTGTCACCCCAACATAGTGAGGGTGCATGGTGTCTGCAAACACGACAAATACGGCCTCGTCATCGTCACAGGTGACAATCCTTCGCTTCATCCAGCTCCCTACGTGTCGTTTGTCCTTCTCAGAGTTGTGTACGGGCGGCTCTCTGGCCTCCTATCTGGCCAAGCATGGAGCCCCACCGCCGGAGCGGCGCGATAGGTTCATGAGAGAGGTGCATGACGCACAGAAAGAGAGTGTCGTCTGTGTCTCTCTATAAGTGTGTGCGTGGATGTCAGATATGTGAAGGTGTCCAGTACTTGCATGATAAGAAGATCATCCACGGTGACTTGAAGCCCGAAAATATACTGGTCTCAGCACATCACTCACGCATTACTCGATCAAAACAGGTTCCTGTTGTCGCCCGTACTTGTCAGCTGACGGAGGGTCTCGTCATCAAAATATTGGATTTCGGGATAAGCCGGGGCGCTGAGAGAAAAACCACTGTGACTACAGGTATCCGTAGAAAGTGGAGGATGCGAACGTCGCCGCACAGGTGCTTGCGCTGCAGTTGCTGGAACCTTCTACTATATGCCTCCCGAGGGCATCGAACCGGAGTGTAAGCATGCCGAGATAAGATGAGCTCCTGGGATCACTGTGTCTGGTGCATTCATAGTGGGAAAACTGACGACGAAAGCTGACATTTGGGCTGTTGGCGGCGTCGCGATTGAGCTACACGGAGGTAAGAGATAAGAAAGAGCGCAGCTCAAATGCAAGACGGACCGTATTTGATTCAGGCCGGCGGCCCTTCGAAGGCTTTGGGCCGGCACAAATTCTCCACAAGGTCGTCAACAAGAAGGAGGTGAGATGCCATCACCTCTGCTTTCAACTTATCAGACTGACTCGGCCCGTAAAAGTCCTGCATCGGCCTTCCTTTTTATCAGATTCCTGACATCCCGCAATCCTTGCTCCCGCATATCAAGAACGCCATCAAGGCATGCCGAATAAGTTCACAGCATCCGTCTCCTTACTGTCTCTCTCCATGGTGATCAGAGTTGTTTCATCTTCAAAGCGGCCAATCGGCCAACAGCCACACAGGTCGTATGAACTTTCATCAAGGGTGAGAAACGCTGGGGCTCACTGGGGCTCACATACTCGGTGCGTGTACGTTTCAGTTTCTCGATAAACTGGGGCTGTCTCGTTCGATGTCAAGCGGACAGCCGACGGATACGACTGAGGAACCGCCGACGAGCCCATGGGAATGGCTATTCGGCGGAAAGGCCAAGCGACAAGGTCCATCTACAGTATATGCATGTTCTTCGATAGATGGTCTCATTCTTGATTTCAGATGCCCTCTCACTTCCTGCGGCTCGCGGTTCACTCGGGAATGTGTCTCCCGCCGGCCATTCATCGGCTAGCCGCATGAGCATGGCCAGCACCATGCCAGGGCCGCCCAGCACTGCGTCTCCCTCTCAGTCGCCCATTGAGGGAAAGGTGAGTGAGACGGGCAGGCAGGCTTTCCATCCCACATGTATCTGCACAATCACGTGATGTGTCGGAGTGTGGTGGTGTGCATGTGTCAGTTGGGGTCTACTACGTCCACCACGGCTCCTCCAACTCGCTACTACGGTATGAGGGATGGAGATCAGCAGAGATCTGACGGCATCTGTGGACAGACAGGCGGGAAAGCGTGTCGGGAAGCCAGCTACGATTGCCAACTGTGTCAACTGTGTGTGTATGGTGTCCTTTCCCTTGTTTTTTCCTCAGTTGATCCGTCGTCTGCAGGTTTCAGCCACGGCACGTACCCGTCACCGTACGGCATGCCGCTTGGTCCGCACGGGTACCCAGGTGGTCCGTATGGCTACCCGGCCTACCCGCCGGTACCAGGCCAGTACTATGCCCCCGGGGCCGGCCAGTACTATGCGCCGGGGGCGGCTGGCGTTGCTCCCACAGTGTATGGTGGGCCCGGTGGTCACACTCAGGCGGTGCTGCCCGCTGAGCATGCCAAGGGGGGCGAGGCGGACGAGCCCAACAGTCACATTCAGGTGGTGCTCCCTGGTGAAGATGCCGAGGGGGGCGAGGCGGACGACGATGAGGGCGGCAGGAGGACAGGAGGGCCGGCGAAAGGCGGCAAACTCAGCGCTGAGGAGAAGGTATGTAAGTGGTATGTATACGTACGGTCCCGTAGGTGTGTTGTGTGGCTGAGTGTCTGTTGTGGGCGGGCAGAAGGATGAGAAGGCTCGTCTGCAGCGGGTTGTCAAGGACTTCGCAAAGGTACTGACTTACTGACTGTCACGCATTCGTGTGTGCGAAGAGGTCATTAGACAATCAGGCCTGTGTGTGTCTCGTCTCGTCGTCCTGTGTCTCTCTGTGTGCATTTGTGTGTCGGTCAGGATGCCGTCGGGGGGATGGAGATGACGGTCATAGACCTCGACGGTACACAGGCACAGGCCCGCCCAGGAGTGTCCAAAGTTCACCCTCTGGATGAGTGTGCAGGGAGGAAGTTCAGGACTCTCTTCCAAATGGACAGCTACCTCCAGGTAAGCCAGCCACTCACAACACAACAGACAACCCCACTGCAGTGCAGCCACTGTCTGTGCGATGGCCTGTCCGTCCGTAGTACTTCACGTTCGAGCCGGTCAAGGGCGAGGCTGTGCCAGAACACATGAGGAAGATCGAAATGAAATCGGTGGGTGCGGCGCGGGAGGACGTGGGGACAGATCCTGTCTATGTCGGTATGCGCGTGTGTGCATGTACTCAGGTCGACAGTGTGTACAGGGACAGCAAGGTCATGAAGAAGAAACCCAACTTCCCCTTCCCCGAAGACGCACCACACTGTGTCGGTAAGATGCCCATCAAATACTTCCCCCCATCCATGTGTGTGTATGTGTGTGCGTAGGATTCGAGACTCGTGGGGGTAGGGTCAAGTTATTTTTCCTTATCCCCGAGGAGGATGCCCGGGACAACTTCTACACATGTTTCAAAGTACTCAGGTGAGGACACACTCACACACAGAGGGAGACAGGCAGGAAGGGCGGCGTAGTCATGTCAGCCAGAGAGAAAGAGCCAGCCGCCAGCTAACGAGTGGGTGGGAGAAGACACACATGACTGTTTTCTGGCAGACTCAGCGTGGAGGTCAAGAAGCAGTCGTAACAATTGGTGCCCTATTCTTCCAGCTGACAGGATTTTGGTCGGTACGTGTATGTCATGTGATTGTGAACGATCAGGAGGCAGTGAGACAGGCCGGTAAGACCACCGAAACTTAGATACTCAATGTGTCCTCTGCCTTCTCGCGCCATGTCACTGCTATCAGAATCATGCGCTCTGATACAGCCATGCAACACGGCACAGAAAGCCGGCAAAAAAGGCTTAACACATAGTCTTGTCGCTCACAAGCATTACACACTCTGATTAAGCCGTCCATTCATTCATTCAGACTATGCAAGTATGCACTGTTTTGTCAAGCAGATCTAGCCCAGCTCGAACGTTGTCACACCGTACCTACACACACAGCAAAGTACAGCAGCAACAGCCATCAGAGAGAGGCGGGGAGCTGCAGAGAGAGACCGACGTGAGCTGTCTGACTATCCCAGGGTTGTTGTGGTCAGGCCATACCTGACGCATACACACAGCACACACGAAGAGTATCCATCCACCATACGAGAAGCGCCAAGCCACCCACCCACTCACCATTTGTTGAGGCCGCCATTGAGGTGACTGACTTCGCTGCCGTCCGAGTGCTGCGGTTTGAGATACATCCGGCTGGTGCGGAACACCTCACCCATCCCGTACCTGAACAGGGACGATCAGACATCGTCATGCTCGAATGAGGCGCTTCTCAACGTGGGCCTACGTGTCTGGCAGGTGATGGCTGTGTGGGTTCTTGTCGGTGTCAATGCAGTCCAGGTAGACGGGAATGGTCGATGAGCCACCTGCAGGCGACAGACAAACATGAAAGAACGGAAAACGGCCCCTGCTGTCTGTCGCGGCGCTGCTGCCCACCTGACAACTCTTTGGCCTTGCTGTCCTTGACGAGGTCCACAGCGGCGCCGAACAGCGCCTCAGCAGTGGGCAAGCCGTCAGCGAATAAAGGGCCAACTTTGAACCCGCGGAAGCACTCGCGAATCACGATATAGCCCTCAATGTTGCCATCGTTGGCTCGATGGATGAAGCACGCATTGTTCTTGACCCACGGCAGCAGGAAGCTCCGCCGGCCGCAGCCGAACACCGCTGCGTCATAAGCCACCAGCTGATCAAACACAGCCGCGTCATCAGCCGACAGCCGGCTCACGCCGCTGGCTGACGCGTCATCCCTCTCGATGACTGTGGTCGATGTCACCCTGAGCTCATAGCGGACCGACGAGAAGGCCACCTCAAAGCCGCTCTTTGCGTATCTGTCTCTCTGCTCGACCACCGCATCGAGTCCGAAGACGACATCAGAGCCGCCGTCACGCTGGCGGCCGTGCTCCAGTGCACCGTTCCACAGTGCTGCCCCGATGCCCTTGCGACGATGCTCCTGGGCAACGATGAAGAAACCGAGGAAGCAGTAGCGGAATGGGCGGCCGTCTGTCGTTGTGAGTGGGTACTGGACACACGAGATGCAGCCGATGGGGACGGTGCCTGGATTGGGAGACTTGGACTCGGCGACAATGTAGCCCTCGCTGTCAGTCGCGAGGAAGGCGGACGCGTCGGACAAACCAGGATTCCTGCGTTCGACAAGTGAATTGACATGCGTCGCAACAACTTAGATCTGCGATTGCTTTGGCTCTTACCATCCCTCCTGCCGTGCCATCTCGACACAGAACTGCACCTCAGCATCGCCCTTCATCAAACGCAAGGCCAGCGCTTGCATGCCCTCAACAGATCTTGGAAACATTGGAATGGACCAAAAATGATCAAGCCACCACCCCGAGGCTTCCACAGGCTTCTGGGATGCCGGAAGCCTCAGAAGCAGACGCGAGCTTTTCAGTTGGATCGACAGATCTGCACTCGCGACGGAAAGGCCGGGAGGAAGAACGCAAATGAGGAGCGCACTGCTGCAGATTGTGAACGCCGCTTGTGCGGCAACGAGTCTTCGACTGCTTCTCGCTCTGCCGGCTGCCTCTATTGCGTCCCATGGCAGCCAGTCGCATCTCCCATCGACAGCCCTCACCCCTGCATTCACACCGTCTTTACTGAGGAGAAGCATCCCTGGCCATGAGGCGGCGATGCCATCTGCGATGACACAGCGGCGCCGGTGTGTGCGGATGAACGTGTTGACGGATCTATGGGGAGGCTATCTGAGCAGCCTGGACGCCCAGCCGCTGCTCACCAAGTGCCTCACCAGCGGCGTCATCCTGCCAGCCGCAGACATCGCAGCACAGGTGTGTGCATACGGCCGAGGCGATACAACACCCATGTGAGCTTGTCGTCGATATGGTGCCTCTTTGTTCACTGCAGTTGATCGAGAAGCGCGGAGATCCATCAGCGCCACGCGGCATTGACTTCACCCGCACCTCCCGATGGCTGGCGGCCGGCTTCCTCCTCCACGCCCCATGGAACCACTACTGGTACAACTTTCTCGACGCCCGTGTGCCGCCGCCCACCGAGCCGCTGAGCGGCATCAATTTCTTGAGGCTGGCGTTGGATCAGTTCCTGCAGGCGCCCGTCTTCACGGCCCTCTTCTTCGCTGGTCAGTGCAAAGGACATAGAGAAGGCAGAATGACGACTCTCGTGTCATTTGTGTGTGTGTGACATTGTGTGTGCAGTGCTGCAGCTGCTGGAGGGCGCTAACACTCAGGGCGTGCGGGACAAGCTGAGCCGAGACTGGTGGAGCACCATGAAGACCAACTGGGTGGTGTGGCTGCCCGCGTCCTTCATCAACCTGGCCTTCGTGCCGACTGCTCTCAAGCTGCTGTACGTCAACGTGGTGAGCCGGCATGGCGTGAGGAGGGCAAGAGCCGACCGAAGCCGCACACTGTGATTCTCTGGTGTCTGTGTGTTGTCAGGTGTTCTACTTTTGGTCTATATTCCTGTCGATTGTGGCCAACAGAGATGTAGAGCCGCAGAAACAGACATGAGAGAGACTCGTGCCGGTGGTCTGATGGTAAGTACTGCTCTCGCCCCCTTGGTGTTTTGCGTCTGTATCATGTCGTCCGTCACGATGGTGGACACAGTGGCATCCAGTCTGTGTGTCGCCTGCGTGGACGGGGGGAGGTTCAGATGCGGACACAAAGGGGCAAGAGCGCCGGGTGCCTAGGGGGTGTATGTGCGAGAGTTTCCATGACAGCTCAAGTACATATGAGTGACGTGCTCATGACGGGTTTTTCGGTCTCTGTTCCTTCATTGATGTGTGTTACGCTACACGCGACGATGTCGCCGACATACATACATGTAACCTGTCTGTCTTCCAGCCTGCCTGTTAAGGTGGGGTGCGGTGTGAGCAAGTTACATATGCTCGACTACCCGGCCCAGTCGCCAGTCTTGACTAAAGTGCTGCACACACCACACCACACTTCACCACACTACACTACCTGCAGACATTCATACGTACACGTAGATGGCATGACTAACTAATTGCATTGCACGCACCCATCAGTGCGACTAAACACGCACTCGTCATAATAGAAAGGTATTATGGCTTCCATCATCTCGCTGACTGACACGGACTAAACTCACACACATGCATGGGGGCCGAAAAGTTGTGTTACACCTTTCACTCACTCACTCACTGACGTCAGGTAGGCCGGTCAGTCCGTCGCTGTGTCGGTCGGTCGGTCGCTTGGTCGACGGATGGACAAATGATGATCTGCACACGTAACCATATTTGGTCGGTCACAGCCATCGCACGCTCACACTCTCACGCACACATACACGCATCCACGCACCCCCAACCACCCCACCAATCCCTATTGCGGGAACCAAAGAAAAAAACAAAACACCCCACATGCACCCA